GTAAGACGGCAGACAGACAGACAGACGCACACCAGGGGCAGAAACAGAATCCTTCTCTTCCTCGCGTGGGCTTTTTTTCATTGGGAAGTTTACCACTTACATCGTGAGCAGATGCACTCCAGAACAGGGGGGGGAAACACCACCTACCCACCCACCCAACCTATCTTCGCTCGTATGCGTGTCTTAGACACTCTCGAGGCCGCATGCTTGAGCTCGCGCTCACGGGAGCGAAGATGCGTTGCAGTTGCTCAGTGGGTAGGTAGGCAGGGGAGGGGAGAGCCCCGTCACGGGTTTGAGCTGATGACATTGTGGTAGGGGTTTTTTTTCCCCTTTCCTCTGGGCTTTGTTTCTTCAGAGGTCTCAATCTATCTCTCATTCCACGGATGTCTCTATTCCTGTGTGCGCGCCGACGTCCTTGTCCTGCATGAGTTCGCATGATGCTTCCTACCCCGGCTGCAGGCAGCGAGGTTCGCCGCTGCTACCGCCGCCGATGCTGCTGCTGCTGTGCGTGATACAGAGTACCCATGCGAGGAGGGCGTGTGAGTCGCAAATTGTGAGTACCTACGTATACGTGCAACAGAGAAGGAGAGGAAAACGCCGGAAAAATTCCCATGAGTAAGGCAGTGAAAAGGTCATGTTAGTCTCACCGTCCTTTCCTCAGAAGCGACAGATGCTAAGGCAAGGTCAGGATCTAGGTCAAGGACCGGTGAATACATTAGTCTCTAGGTGTGGATGGAGGGGAAACGGTTCTGTGCATTGCGACTTCTCACGCACTTACTGGCCTTTTTTCTTCACCTCAAGAAAATTGCGCTTGTGCTGTTAGGTACAGAAACGGTCTGGTGGCGATGGGGATTTCTTCCGATACTTCGCATCATCCGCTCAGTTTCTTCCTTACTAACATCGCATCGCGGGGGGGCAGGTGAGCAGCAGAAAAAGAACGAGAGGGGAATCATGCAAACCATGACTTAGCCTTGCGTCGCCGTCGATGCGCAAAGTTCGGATGGGGGGAAGAAAGCGATCAGAAGGAAGTATCAGTTCGTCTCTTTTCTTACAGGAGAACATCGCTTGCCCCCCCCCCCCCCAATTCCCCCTTTCCCGACATCGCGTCTCGAAAGGGAACTAAGGTGAGGCCAAGGTGAGTCTTGCGATGCAATCCAGAGGTTCCGGTCGACGGAAATCTTGGTGGTTTTGCTGACGTTGCATCTTTTCATTGGGCCGTTGCACCTATACTTAGACTCTAGCTCTTTTGTAAGTGAATTCCTGACGTAAGGTTAGCTTTCGAGAAATTTTCTCCTTCCCGCTTGACAAGATGAACTGCTGCTCCGTGACTCTCTTTGCGGAGCATTTGAAAAGGAAATATGGCCCGATCGATCTTCGCCATGCAGAAGTAATGCAAGAAGAACGCGCGCGGCACGTGTGCGTTTTGTCGGATCTGGATTGCGCGGACCGGGAGAGGAGATTGCGTCCCCCGTGCCATTTTCCGTTCCCACTAAGGCACGTTCTAGTGCAGTTCCAAGATTCACTGTCCGATATTCAGGTAAGTCTTTTCGGGAAGAAAAGAGGAGCAAGTCAATGACGATGTACTCTTTGCTCGCGTCTTCGCTTCTTTTGCGCGCTTGAGTCAAGGTAAGATGCAAGCGCTGCCACCGTTTCGCTGGGCCTTGGTCTGTACTTTGAGCAAAACGGAATCGATAGACGGCGAATTCAGGTATAGACGGTCACGCATTTATCTAGTTGTTCTGCCTTTGCTGATTGCTCGGGCGGTTCTCGGTATAAACGGTGATGCTCGCCTACTCAACTTCACCAACCTTTGCAGAGGAACCTAAAGTGGTCTGTTTCTGGTCCCATTTTCAAAGGGGGCGCCACCGATAGGTCTAGAGAAGACGGGGGGAAGTTCAAAGACATGTCTCATCGGCTCCTGGTGTCTCACTGCAAACAACATGTTTCTCGAGAACGAAACGCCGTGTAACCCTTTGGCGATACCCTTCGTACAGCTCTCCACACAGGTACCCCTGAGGTAATCGGGAGCCCGCAGGAACAAACACAAGGCGGGAAAGAAGCAAGGAGCGGCTGGCTAGGTGAGTATGAAGAGGTAGCTTGAGCGAGGTAGAGTGTCGTGGTAGGTAGTTCCATGACGGTTTCTGAGCTGAGGTACAGAGTAGCGCCAAAGACTATGAAAATAAAAGGAGAGAAAGAAAGAGGGGGGTTTGGCGTTACGATGATACGATTCTACAATGTTTGTGTATCATTCCGACCTGATAGTCCCGCGCTCTCTATAGGCTGTTGGACGAAGCAAGTCCGTGACACCTTGGGGAACCCAAACGATCCTCGGACGACATTAAAATGGTTCGGCCCGGACGAAAGGCACGGCGTGCTTTCCCTCCGGTGTAGACACCCGGGTCGGGTGCACCCGTACTCCGTGCCCCGTGGCCCTGTCTACCCGGCGTCCGTCATCATTCATCAGTCATCAGTCACATTTACCCTCAAGATGGACGGCTGATGGGATCTCACTGAATAAAATGCATCGCTTTTTTCTTGATGATTGCCTATGATGATAATGCGGGGTATGTTGAACAGTAAAATGATAAAGCAAAAGGGCAGCATTAGCCTTCGCGATAGCAGCTGGAAACTTGCTGTAGGCATAAACATGGCCACAAGCCCCGTGTCTCCCATATACAGCCAGGTGCTTAACCTGCAAGTCCATCTCAGCGACATACTGGAGACGAGGCAAAGGCTCCACGAGAGGTCCATCACAGCTTGTTCTCCCTCCCATTCCCTGCCTCGCTGCGAGCCAGCTTCTCTGCTTTCCCCACACTCGCGAGACCAATAGATTTCGCCCGTCCGACGGCACACAGCGTCGAGCACGTCGAAAGCTCGTCGTTTCCCGCATGGGATACCTGTGTCTATTTGTCGCCGCACGCAGTTTGTCCTGCCTGATGAGATCTCCGTGCACCCCTATCCCACCATGTGAGGGCGCTCAGAAGAGGGGTAAGGGAGTAAAGCATGAGCTCTGGAGGGAGAGAGGCTGACAAAAGACTCATGTTTTTTGCCCCTGTTCCTCTCCATTCCCTTCGATACCGTCGCTGTGCTTCGAACACACAATCAGTATGGCCCAAGGAACAGCCGATGGCTTGTGTCACGATCTTGCGCGTTGGGTGACACCGCGGCAGTAGAGAGAGAGAGAGAGAAAGTGCAACCGCCAGATAGAAGCCGAGCGGGACTGCCGAACCGGAACGTCTCACCCGTTTCGAGTACGTGATGCCGTGTCACCAGTGGTTCGGTCATCTCATGCACACACTTGGCCCCTCCGTTCCGTGACTTTCTGCCTCCTTGTCTCTACTTCTTCTTCTTGTCGCCGGCATCTGGGTCGTACTTTTCCTTCCAGATCCTATTGAGTTTGCGGGTGGTCAGCCTTTGAGTATCACAGAGCAATTCTGGCCCACGGGGTGGTGCCAGATTGTGTGGGCAATGGCGTCAGGAACGCAAAGATAGGGGGGTAAGGACAGGCCGGCAAGTGGACTGGCAGGCAGGCAGAAAGTAATCGCGACGAATTGCAGCCCCGGGAAGCAGCACCGAGTTTTCGCGGGCGCTCTGGGGAACGCGGCGCAGCGCAGGAGGGCTTGCAGCGGCAGGTAACCGCGTGCAGTTCCGGGAAAGCTGACTGTCATCCAAGAGGATCGAATGACAGGGCGAGCTCCCGCATTTGGAGGCAGGCAGAGTAAAAAAAGCCTTGGGAGCCTATCAATGCCGCAGCGCGCAAGTCATCCGCGACAAGAGAGCTGCAGCTTTCCCCCTTCTCTCCAGCGATGCATGCGCCGGATCCAACTCTGGGGAAACCCCCCCTCAACGAACCAGTGGATAAGAAAGAGACAAATGAACAGACAGGCTCAACTTACCATGAATTGCCTAGCGTTTTGTTACCGTTCTTTTCAGCCAACCGGTAGTAACGGGCTGCTGCGAACTGGACATGTTGTCAGCCTCATGTGATGATATTGAGCATGCGTCCTGCACGGGTTCCTGTTTGCGGCCGTCTTTTAGGTTCGCTGTATTGATGCCCAACTTGGACCAAATCAAGTTGCTGACAGCCCAAGTAGGACGTCACTCTGTACCAGTATGCTCTCTCACACACCCCATGACATGTGTGGTCTCGCTGAGTGCAAGCCACACAATACCTGGGGCTGCTGAGGCTGATGTTGGTCGCCCCTGAAGACCAAGTTCTGGGCCTCACATCGCAAGACCGGGTAGACGCAATGCCGCTTGAGATGATGGGTGATATGTGACCAAACGTACCTTGTCCTTTTTGCACCCGAAGCCTTCTACATAGCACCAAGCTACCTCGTTCATGGCATCTGAGACGGGCAAGGCGGGTTAGCGCACCGCTACACATCAATTGGGCCTAAACGCCTCAGAGTGAATTCATCATGGCAGACTCACCAGTATCTCCAAGGTTCGCCGCAGTCTCATAGTACTATGTCGACGAGATGTCAGTTCTAGGCCTTCAAGGCTTGGCCAGCTAGGACGTAAGGCATTCCTCGCCCGACCGCCCCCCTCCTCCGTTCTGTGGACAGATGAACTCACCTGCTTTGCCGCTATTGGGTCTTTGGCTGTGCCCCAACCGTGTCGAAAGGAGTTCGCCAACTCGAATATAGCCAGAACGAGCTCGCCCTTAGCAGCACCACCCTTTTTAAGCCCTGCCTTCAACGCCATCTGCTCGACGGTTGCCGCATTCGACGCCGCCGCCGAGAGATACTTGATGGCCCCTTCTGGGTCTGGTTCGCAACCCCATCCGTGCCTGTCAACCCTTGTCAGTAATCCGTCCAAATAGCCCAAATATCGTGGCACCTGTAAGGTCCTGCTTCCAAAGCCCTCCCCCGTCCTCCGATGCAACATGATCGCCCGATGAGCCGAGGCGCGCCCCCGCGTCATGATCCCGTCTTATAGGTATGGGGAAAGTACCGAGTAGGAGTCGAGACCAGTCCACATGCAAGGCAAAAGGTAACTCACCTCAATGAAAGACCGTATAGGAACTGGCTCAAGGTGTTATTCGCCCCTTTCGGGTCAGCCAAGCGGGCGAACATGGCTGTCGAATTCTCGAAATCTCCCGCTTCGTGAAGCCGGATGGCCTCCTGAATATCCTCGTCAATGGCCGGAGACGACACCGCCGCGCCCTGCGTCCTGCCCCTCGCCATATCCCCACCACCGCCCGCGTCGTTCGCCAACGGCGTCGCGGGCCTGCTCTTATTCGCCGAAGCCAGCATGGTCGCGCGCTTCTCCCACTGTAGCTCGTCCCCCTCGCCGCCCTCGGCCGTGGTCACGATGTCGGGTAGGTTCTGCGGGATGTTTTCAGACGAGGCGGGCGAGCGACTGAGGTGCAGCCGCTCTGACAGCCGTCTCCCAATCTTGCCATTGTTCGAGTGGGCGTTGGAGGTCGAGCTCGCCTGCGAGGAGGCGGACGCGCTGCGCGAGCGACTGTTGCCGAAGAAGACGTCGAGGCTGCGCCGGGGCTTCTGGCCGCTGCTGCCGTCGTTGCCATTCGGGTTCAGGTACTGTTCCTTCCCGTCGTCGAAGCCCGGGGGGCCGCTCGGGGGGTGGATGACCTCTTGGGTGTGTGTGTCTGATCGAATGAATTTGAACTCGGGGGCCGCCAGCCTGTCTACTGCATCCTTGCTGCTGTGCTCGCCGTTGTCGAGTTTCTCCTTCTTCTTGAGAACGTCGCGTATGCCCATGATGACGTCGGAAAATGATTAGTGCTGATCCAGCGTGTATGCTTGAAGCTTTCGGAATAGGTAGGTCAAGTCTAGAAATAGGAGGGCCGGGAAATTAATGACAGCGACAAGAAGAAAGAAGGTGTCTTTGGCAAAGAGCAATTGTTCAATTATCCATGAGTAAAAAACCAACAACGGCCTATGTTCAACGCAAGACAGGCAGTGTTGTCAGACTTGGTGCTATTCTCAGCTTCGGGGAAAGGATGAGAGAGTGTGTAGTCCAAGGGGCTGAGCAGATGGCGGTGCTGTTCAAAGACGCGAATCCTCCCACAAGGCAGCGGCAGCAGCCTCAGATCAGCAAGCCCCCCGATCCGACCACGATATGGCCGCCAAATGACGGGTCTCTGTTAGCGCCTCGCAATAAGCTCCCTAGCCCGCTGCCCGAGGGGACAAAGGAGGGCTGATCAGAAGACAACATGTGGACAGTGGCGCCGACTGCTCCGACTGGAAATGGGGGCGAAAAAGGGCCAAGAGGGGTCTCTGGGCAGTGGGAACTTGAAGCTTGTGTGTGTGTGTCAGCGCAACGAATTGTCATCGAATGACGGCTGATTTCAGGAGTCCACAGGGGAGAGGAATGGCGGGGTAAAATTCTAATGGAAATTTTAATTGATCTAGTTGAGACACCCGCGAACAGTTGGGCCGGCCCGCACGCGGAAATGATGCTTGGCCCAATGTCACTCTTCCGCATGGGGGATTTTACGCCAATATCACGTACTACTAAACTAACAGTAACTAGACAGTTAAGACCATCTTTTTTTTTTTGGATTGGAGTTTTACGAGACTCAAAGAGACATCAAACTTCAACAGGACATGGAGTATTGAAATGTCATCCTGTTTTGTCTCGGCTTACACCATGTATCACATCTTGGTTGCTTCTTTTCGTGTTCCATATTTTTTAGTCTATCCATTTCTGCTACTTGTTTTTCGTCTTTTTCTTCTTCATAATCATTATCATGATCTTCTATTCTTTTCTGCTCTGTGCTTGGTATCCTGGTATCAATGCTCTGTTTCTCCATTTCTTTTGTGGGTATATTTTGTTGTTTCCTTCCCCAATCGTTTTCGTGACCTGAAATACGTCCGCAGTCAAAAGGCTCAAGGCCTTCCTTGGTCTGGACTTCTTCAAGGACTGGATAGCAAGCATGTCAGTAGTGAAAAGAGACCATTCGGCCTCAGCAAGGTGGCATCAGATCACAATCAGAAAGAGATAAAGTCCTTCTGAACCTTGAAGTCAGTATCATCACCAGCACCATCGGTGATAAACTCCTCCACTTCGTCTGAGTCCACGTCGTCGCTATCGACCGGCTCGTCATCGCTCGACAGATCCTCCATTTCGGCGCCGTCCGCCCGCTTCCGAAGGACGCTTGCCCTCTCGCGGTGAAGGAGCTTGCAGCCCCTGGTTTTACACTTGCCCGTGTTGCTGAAGTCGGGGCACTCGAAAACGTGTCGCTCTTCGCATCCGTCTCCCTTGTCGCAGTAGCCGTACATCCCAAAGGAACGGCAGACCAGAGCACCTGAGGATACACTAGAATGAGCATAGGGACAAGTGGAGTTGGCACAATTGCCCTTGAGAAAGTGAACGCAAGTTGGGATGCGCTGGGGCGTCAAGTCATGGGACAGATCACAGGAGTCCCCACTGGCGCAGGTCCCCTTGTGCAGCATCTCCCGACAAATGGCAACTTTCGAAGCATCGTGCTTGTATCGACAAGATGGTCCCTTGGCACATGAACCTAAAATAAAATGATGGTGGTTAGTGGAGTCCGGTATATCATACCCACTTGAGCAAGAAATCGTCCAAATCTGTCGGATCGGATATTGCGTGGGCGATCGAATAAGATTGTGAATAAAATACCAGTCAGCGAAAACATGCTGCAAGGCACGTCGACCTTTTTGATGCCAGTTTGGCTGGGGGAGTGACCCAAGTTAGCAATTGTCAGCCAGGAGGAAAGGCTTCATACCGTTGAGCTTTGAGCACACCGTCGCGGTACAGATTACCGGTCTTGCTTCGATGAAATTTGACACCCCCAACGAAGGCGACTTTGGGGGTAGCGTTGACTGGGTGGAGATCTCCTGTACGATTGTAAGTTTGCTCTGCTGTGCAAGGCTGCAAAAGTAACGCACCCGACACCTTGATGAGCTTGCTGCCGCTGTTCGCGACACGAAAGCGAATGCCTTGGATCTCTATCTCGTGATTGCCTGTCGCTGTCGGGTTAGTGGGAGTATGCGGTGCGCTTGCATTGCCGCTGTAGCGTTGGAAATGGTTGGCAAGCTGTTGTTGCTCGCGCGCGTCCTGCTGACGAATCTTCTGTTGGCGCGACGCCTCAATGGCCTTGACATGTGCTTCATTGGTCTTGTCGTAAACGGCCGAGTTGATCAGCGACCTCTGACCGCGAGTATTCTTCGAGATCCAGGCGCCTGAGGAAGTCGTCGAGACAGAACCCTCCGCAGGAGACGACGCATCGGAAGGAGGTGTTTGAGTTCCATCTTTGTTTACCACCAAGGATCGGTGCCGAAAACCTGTTGGGCCACCTCGGGTGGAGGGGTACGGCTGGACTCGATGCTTGTGGGGGAAGGCGCCATGTCGGTGAGTGTTATCTGTGATGTGTAAGCGCAGGATGTTTTATCGGTCTCGAGATTAAACATACGACGATGATAGGAAGCCTGGCTGCTTGGGACTGATTGAACGCCGGCTTGCTGGGCCTTGTGAAGGTTGATCTTGCCTGTTTGCCACTACGTTAGAGAATACGCGCTCTTGTCACCTGTGTCTGGTTACAAAAATTACTACGCACCCGCAAGCTGGCCGATTCTGGCCAGCAGTTCTTGTTCTTCCTGAGACGGCATGTCCTAGTGTTGCAAACTTGTGCTGTCTTTTTGTTGTGGTGTTTCTAAGTTTTGCGACCAAAGAAATGCTGTTGCGCCTGAGGAATTTGGTGTGTTTTTGAGAAGATGAGATCACTGAATGTTGGAAAGGCGAACGCATTGACAGTGCGATCGGAGTTTCCTTATCTTAGGCAGGTAAGGTAGAGGGGATGATGACCCACTAGGTTCACAGCGCTTAAGGCTTGAGGTAGCTGACCAATCTGCGCTAAGCCAGGCATGCGTGGCTGCTGGCATGCTACTGCAAGGCTGTCAAAGAAGAAAGGTGAACGACCTGGAGCTTCTTTTCCTCCACATCTGCTCCTTTGAGTTCACTCCTGCGATTCCATCATCGTCAACTGTGGTATCCGTTGTGGCGCAGACCATTGTCGCTCACATCAACCGCACCATCTTGCACCACTCAGCTCAGAAGAACTACGGCTTGATTATCCTTGAGCCAATTGGCAGGACCAGCGAAGAATTGACCTCCCACAGCATAGCCCCAGGGTCGAAGCTCATCTAGCTTTTACAGTTCGACAAGCGGCAAAATACACCTTCTCTTAGTTCAATCCCGCAAAATGGCGTCGACTTGGGGTCTTCTGGATGATAAGGAGGAGCAGGAGTTGCACAAGACCCGACTGGTCAACATCGAGGAGAAGCCCTTCAAGCGAATCACCAAGCGGCTCACATCCATCTCCACGATTGTAAACGCCCACTCGAAACAACAACCGACCCCACCACCCGAGGGCGCAAATGGCGACAATGACGGCGATACTGAGGTGAAGGAAGAGACAAAGACCGCTCAAACTCTGCGAGAGATTGATCAGATCAAAGACGACCTCACCCTTGACTTTGCCGCATTCGATAGCAGTATTGCCCGCCTGCAATTCCTCCTCGACGCGAACGTCCGCGAGCGCGAACGCTACAAGGCCGACCAGCAACGTATTCTCGAGGAATGTCAAAACGTTCGAGACAACAACGCGCGGCTGCGCGAGCAGCTAGAGGGCGCCAGGGCGACGCTTGCCCAACGTAAGGAGTACGACAAGCTCGCCAACGCGCTCATGGCTAAGGGCCTGCGGCCGCGCGGGGAGCAGGAGTCAAACCTGAAGAAGCTCGAGGAGGAAATTCGCGACCTGGAGAAGGAAAGCGAGACCTACGCGGTGACTTGGCGGGAGCGGCGCGATCAGTTCAGCAAAATTATGGATGAAGGCATGCAACTTCGCAGACAGATCCGCGATGAGAAGGAGGAGGTCGAAAGACGGGAGGGCATGAACGAGGACGGCGAGGAGGATGGCGACGCTTCTAGAGGGGGCAACACGCCTCGGCACGTGTCCAGCGGCAATGTCACGCCGCACCCAGACAGCGGTGCCGTGCCGAGACCGGCGTCGGCGCACGAGGGTCAGTCGGAGGATCAGTCTGAGGGTCTCAAGCCTCGAGCGGGTGGCCTGGGCGGCTTTTCGCGGTCTGGCAGCGCCGTCCCGAGTCAGACTGGCACCCCTCAGCCTCAAGACGATGATGAGGGCGAGATTGAAGAGGGAGAGGACGTTGAGATGGATGACCGCCATGATACACAGCTCACGTCGGGAGGCGATACGCCTCAAATCACAGTGGACGCACCGGAAAGCATGGAAGTGGACAGCTAGACAAATCAAGTGCTTCGGATGATTCTAGAATAGTCCCTCAATTGAGATACCCATTAAAGCAGGCAGCTATTTTGCCTCTGACGTTCGCCTGCCCTTGACACAACGCAATCCCGAACCTCCTTCTCATCTTTGATATCAAAACGCGGGAAAGAAGAAAAAATGATCACAATTCTAAGCAGAGACGTCGTCCTTGAGATACGTCTTCTCCTCCTTGCCCTTTGCTAGCGCAAGTCTCGCCGTCTCCAACTCCTCGGGCGACGCACCGCCGCTCTCAGCCAGGGCAATCTGCTCCTCCAGCTTGACGGTCGCGTCCTCGACGCGGGTTCTCAGCTCGGGGAACACCTTTTGCGTTTCCTCCACCGCGAGTTTCTAGCCCCCCCAAAGTCAGTCAGCGGGGTGCTACACTCAAGAGAATTCCTGATGTCTCGAAGAACCAGAGCTCCACAGGTATTGGCTAGAGATGGGGGAGTGACTTACCAGCTGCTTGAGCATGTACTCCCTGTTGCCGTCCTCATCGGGCTTGCCTTCCTTGATCTCATTCTCCAGAGTCGTGACCTTGCCCCTTTGCTGGATGAGTTCCTTCTCGTACGAGATCTCCTCCTTGAGGAGTCTGGTGACGGAGAGGGTCGCGACGGTGAGCTGAGAGGGGGGCGCCATGGTTGTCTGTGGTGGTGCTGGTGCTGAAGAAGTTTTGAGTAGCGGCGGGGTGAAGATTCGAATCAAGTCTGCACTATCCGATGAATGGGGTTCAAGATGGAGATTTTCTGTGGTGATGCGTGAGTACGGGTTTTTTCCTGAAGTGAGCAAAATGAGGCAGTCAGTCTTGTTAATTTACCTACCTTCCTATGCTTCGGCTGATTGTTTCCTGCTTTTGTTTACACGGGATCCCGGCTGTTCCTGCTGCTTGGCTGGCTACGTCAAGGTGCACACAGGCTGGTGCCTTGGAAAGGGTTTTGGTGGGGGTTTCACGGCGGGGTGCATCCCGGCAACCTTACCTCATCTCAGCAACCCTTTTTGGGAACTCGTCTACTTCATGCGGCCATTCCTGGGCATCTTTGTCTCAAGGCACCACGGATATTGCTCGTCTCTTTGATGGCTGCCTACTACTCACTGTTTTCCTATTCCGGTAATTCTCTTGCTGAATAAGTTAGACAAAAGCAGAGAACGAATCCAGAACACTGCATATGCCTCATTTTCGTAGGATTGAGGTCCTGTCCTAGCACAATCGATAGTCAGCACAATCGATAGTCTTGTGCTCTCTGCATCAAGTATCTTACCTAGGCAACAACTTCCATGCCGCTGGAATCTTTACCCATTGGGAATTATGGGCATTAGTGAGATTGGGATTCGGGCGAGTGCTGGAATACATGAATTGCCACATGTTGGAGTAAGGTTGAGACGACATTCATACCATGGCATTGTTGGTCTTGATAGCCGTCCGCATGAAGAAGTCCATGCGTTGGATGCATTTGAAGATGTTTTTTTTACGTCTTTCCGCTGACAGTCTTATTTACAATGAACCTCCAACTAAACTTATATCTAAACGAAGTCAAAAGCTGCAACAAGCACGACACAAGCGCCATCACATATTATCTACTTTGGTCTTCAAAATAGACAGCTTTGGACCTGACTTACTCGAGATAAACAGTATGAGTTCATTTATCGTCACTCGTAGCTACGACATACCATCACACCGAGGAAAAAAAATATATACACTCTAATCGCTAGCACTACAATATTGCACTCAAAATACTCACCTCCGTAGCGAGTACGACTAGTTTCAAAGCCCCCGTTATCTTGAGTCTAAACCGACAGAGCCTCCAGCCCCTTCTTCGCAGCGAGCTCAACAGCATCCGCCGTCTCAGACAGAACAGAAAGGAACGGCGAGTGCGCAGACTTCAACTTCAACTTGGTCGCCTCGGGTCCCAGGAGCTGCTGCATCTGCTCCTGCGCAAAGTACGGGATCGCCTGGTCGTCCTCGCAGCCGACGTACATGCAAGTAATGTCGTGCCAGGGCTCGTACGTCATTGTCTCCTTGAACGAGATCGTCGTCTGGTGCTTCAACAAGCTCTTTGCCTTTTTCCTTGCCTCTGAGGGCACGTCTCCGTAGAGGGGGTCATCGGCGGTCACGACATGGATTCGGCCGTCCTGACGTATCTGATCAGTATACCAAGCATCGCAAGCAAGACACGAGAAAGATTCACTCACCTCTATCCTCGTCCACGGGGGATACACATCGCCCGTCATGCTCAAGATGCTCTGCCCTTTCTGCCCCACAAACGCAGCGAGGTACATAAACATGATGACGCCGCCAGGCTTACCCTCCGCGGCCCTCTGCTTGATCCCGAATCCCTTGACGCCTTCGGCTGCCGCGAGACCGCCGTATGAATGAGCGACCAGGACGATCTGCCGGTCTTGGTCGGCAAGCTCTTGCAGCACGGCACCGGTGGCGGCCGCGTCGTCGTATAAGCCCTTGTTCGGCGGCTCAGAGCCGACGGATTGGTGCCTCACGACGCGGGTCTCCCAGCCTCTTGTGTGTAGTTCGTCGCGAAGGTCTTGGAAATGCTCTGGCGAGTGCCATGCTCCCGGGGTGAGCACGATGACGGGTTTTCTCGACATAATGGGAGGATGCTATGGTTTGGTCTGGACCTTTTTCCAGAAGTTGAGATTGAGTTTCAGCCGTCTGGTAGAGAACAAAGAAATTGGAGAGATTGAGAGATTTATTTCTCAACGGACTGTAGTAGCACAAGAGCAATTTGGCTTATTTTATATGACTTGGCATATATATTTGGTCAGAGTGATATTACCTTGACGGATGAGGCGTCTGATGTGGATCTCGGTCATCTTTCAACGTGTAAGCACTATTGACAATCGCGGGCATCGCGTTTGGAGACCAATCATGTTAGCGCCCAAAGTCCCAATAAGTGTGGACTTTGTGGTCTGAGTAGAGTCGTCCTGTCAGACCAGCCCCCTCCCGCGTGCGTATTTGTCGACAGGGTTAGGTGGAGTGTTCTCGAATTGTAGAAGAGGATGGATGTTCTTTTGTCTGGGGTGAACTCACGCCTGTTGCCGAGGTATGGTGAGCCGAGGAGTCAAGACCTATCGTGATTGTTACTTTGTCTGGAGAGCTTACTGGAGCTTTATTATGGTTCTAAGCTTTGCTGGTTGAAGACTAGAGTAATCGTTGAACCTCATTGAGAGACTTAATCACACACAGACAATGTTCACAAGATGCGTTGAATTACTGATGATAGTAACGACTAATTACTCTGATTTTCCAAGTTGAGTGAGGATGGTCGTCTCGCACTTTGCAGACACTAACATACCCTAATATTACTCAATGTCCAATCTAGTTGCAGTTCTGCCATAAGTGTTAGATACTGCAATTAAGCCATTCTCCTACGTTAGCTTCTAGGACTTCCTGCCGGTTTCCGGAACAGTGATTTATACTTGAACCATGCGGTATATGTTGCAACTTTCCATGATGAGCGGGAAGCCTTCGAGATTCAAAAAGAAAAGTGAAAAAAATATGCAATGTAAATTCGACTAGGTCCCTTTAATGATGAACCAAATGTTATCAACGCACGCTACTTTAAAAAGGGGGGGTATCATCTTCAAACACGCTCAAATCTCGACAACCTCTGCTCCTCCTCGTGGTGCCTCTGATACACCTTACTAAGCTCCTCCAAATCTCTCTCGTGATCGCCGTTCCCGCCGGTACTCCCAACACCATCAATACCCACAAACGGCTCCGACTCGATCCTCGAAACCATCTTCCCATCCTTCAAGAACAACGCCGGGTGGCACCCCACGATCGCCAAGAGCGCGTACCCGACAAGAAACCCCTCGAGCCCGAGAAACAATCCCTCCCCGCCGCCCCTCGCCAACGGGCCCCGAAAGCCCTCTGCGTACTCGGCGACCCTGAAACACATCCTGCCGAATAAGACGACCATGGCGGACGGCACTGCGCCGGCGAAGATGCGGAAGCGGCCCGTCAGAGGTACGTAGCCCACGTCTCGGTGGAAGGTGGTGTAGCCGTACTGCCGGTAGGAGCGGGCTGCGCGGAGGAGGATGAAAGCGAGGGAAAGGCCCGCGGCAACCAGGGTCACGAGCTGGACGGCCAGGCCCGCCAGGATGATTTTGGCGCCCACGTCGTTGGGTGCGTAGGAGGTCTGGGATGAGAGGGTGTACGGCACGTTTTGGAAGCCGACGCCGAGGCCTACGATTTGGAGGAGGAGGGCGAGGCCGTCCAGCGGGAGGAGGATGGGGCTGTAGAGCTCTGGTTTGATGAAGGAGTGTTCTGTGCCTAGAATCCGAACCATTGGTGCAAGGCAGACGTAGATACTGCAGAACAGAGAATCAGAATCTGAGTTTCTGCAGAGACTAACACGATCTCATAGGAGAACTCAGACATACCTTGAAGTGACAAAGATGGGGGCAATGGTGAGCAGGGCCTTGCTCTGCAGGAGAGGGTACACGGCCCAGGGATCGGTCCAGCCTGCCATGCGGTCCACCCAGCCCAGCAACTCGAGCACGCAGGCGAGGGTCACGATGACGGAGAAGGGGGCGGTGGCGTGTCGTTGTGTTGACCGAGCGGCGACGGCGCCGTTGATGACGAGGCAGAGGGCCGAGACGGCGGCGAAGACGGCGCTGCCTGTTAGTGCCGGACGGTAGCCGTACGGGCTGTCGGAGACGTCGCACGTCGCAAGCGTGCAGGGTGATGAAGCCATGGCAGCAGGTATGGTGTTGATGATGATGATGCGTCGGTGTAAGTGGTTTTGGTGTCAAGATGGAGTCGAGACGGGCATCAAGTTGGACTCTTGGGAGCGAGTATCACACTCGTTCGAGGTCGATGGGGATTAGAGGATGAGAGGTGCAGTAACAACACCCACCTACATCGTCAATGGCGGTACCACCGTGGTTATATGTTGCAGCAAGCATCGTGGCCTCGACCTCAAAATGCCTAGGTTCCGGTAGTATAAAATGACAATCTCCCAACGATCCTCCAAGATCTACCAGATAGTCGGTAAGGTAGCCTTAGGTTATTGGTGACAGGTGTAGTAATGCCCATAGTGTGGCCGTGTCTGCATCCTGCCTACCGCCAAAATGTCTAAGTTTAGAAACGGCGGTAGAAGTTTGGCGGGTTCTCTGCTTGTTTTCGGGTGGGGAAACAGCAGGAAGTGGCAGTGCCGCAGCGAACTTCGCCGGGCCTTTGCACCGCAGCACCACACGGAAAAGTGGAGGCACGCCGGGGGTTGAGAAGCCAGTACGCTGGGCCAAAAATGCTAGAGTTTTTGCCTTTCTAGGCACCCGTAACCCCGGGGACTGGGTTGGCTGAGCTGGGGGACCGGTTCCCAGTGTCGGTTCACTTAAAGCTTCCTAGTCCAATATTTGTTCTAGCTTCATCTTGCGTCTCCTCCTTTCTCCTCTTTCACGAATGCTTGGAATGACATCCCCTTTTTAAGCTCACTAGAACATGTTAGTCTGCTTTTAACGGCTGCCTACCTTAACTTGACAGGGCCTCCGCAGGCACCGTCGGAAGGTGGACCAGGGCATCTCAGTGCTGGGCTGTTGGTGACAGTCCACTGCGGCGCATCCAAATCACCCTTGGCGCGCCTCTCCTCCAACATCCTGCCGTCTCAGCCCCCCATCCAAATGCAAGCACTACGTTAGCTTCAATGTTCTTTCTGTACGGAGTAAAGTTTGCCAACTTGGAATTGCCTTTGGCCTTGTTGGTCTTCTTGCCGCGCAGTCACGTCTCGGAATTCCTGCTATTGGTTCTCATAGCCGCTACTTAAATCATCCTGGGATCGGCTGAACACCATGCGTTTGTCTGGATCGTTTCCCGGTCGCGACGCTAGGTTGACCTGCGGCTACTTTGCGATCAACGTCAGGCTAGTGGGTACCTTCGCCTTGAGAGCCCCGGGGCAGATGATTGGCATAAATCTCGTTGAATGTTTGACATCCATCAATCTGTTCGTCACGGCTGTGAGAGATTCAAATCGTTTCACGTATAGTGGCATGCAGGAGAGAAGTACCTTCTTATCAACTAAGGAGTTCTTTACTTCTACGGCTATGGAAAATCGCTAGCAGGCGAAAGCTACTAACTTCGCATCATCACTACGCTCCCTCTGCCTCGGTCCCCTCCTGAGGAACCGGCGGGGTCTTCTCCTTCTCCGGCTTGCGACCAGTGATGCAGTAGCTGTCCTCTCTTATCAGCACCCCGAAGCAGCATAACAACTTCATGGAAAAAAACGGTACTTACACGGGGCAGTACGCATGATAGCTCTTGTTCTTGAGGTCATTCCGAACGTCGATGAGGAAGACGTTGACCTCGTCGCGCGTCCAGCCGAGCACGCGGGTGAAGGCAGCCATGCACAAGGCTTCGAGCGCAGAACCGAAATTCTCTTGCGTCCATAAGCCGAGCTTCTTGTATCTAGTCAATTCTATTAGCCTTTCCTCTTCCATCATCATCCTGTCTGAAACTCATTTAGTAAGTACGGTACCTCTCATCCTTGGGCCAGGTGTTGTGAGGCCACTTGAAGACGCGGAGCTCAACGTCGACGAAGCCAGCCTCAATCATCTTGTTCTTCAGCGGAGGCGCCTCCACGAATACGCGCCCCGTCATTTCGGTAGCCTCGTGCAGCATATTGACGTATTTGACAATCGCAGAGTCTTTGGGCAACAGGTCGTCGTCAGACTTGGGCATGACCTCGGCTTCTTGAAGCTCTAGGTATCCACCAGGGGTAAGATTGCTACTTTGATCAGTACAGGGAGCTCAAAAGAAAGTACAGCTTTGATTGCGTAACTCACTCGTAGCATCTTTTGATGTATTTATCCCAGTCATCAATAGCTGCGGTCATGAATCGGCTGTGGATATACTCAAAAGGCTGAGAATAAGTCCACTCTTCCTCGACATCGTCAACCTCGAACCGGACGTTCGGAGGTACACTGAAATCGCTCATTAGCATGAAAAGAATGGTGTGCTCATGTCCAGGAGATCTCATACAAGTCCGCCCGTACAGGCGAGAGGTCAACGCCCAATACCTAGACATCGAGTTAGATCTCAAGCTCTTTCCCACCTCATCGAGGCAAATATAGGTCATGATGCAGCGTACCTCGGACTCAGGGTGTAAGTCGCCAAAATCCATAGCCCAGCTCCCAGTTCCGGCTCCAATGTCGAGCACTCGTCCGACCTTTGCGGTATCGTCGCATGGCGGCGCCATTCCAAGTCTGTCGTCAAATGTGTAGACGCAAATATCGTGCTGGAAGTCTAGACCAACTTGTTAGAAAGAGCAATTCGACTGTGGAACTTTGCAACTTTGCAGCGTACCTAGCCGTTCCGCCTCCGTTTCGTCGTTAGGCATGCCATACTCTGTTTAGATAAAGATTGGTCAGTATATTCAGTCCTCGGGTCTCGTCGTCTGGTAAGTTTCCACTCACTTCCGTCCTTATATCGGTGATATGTCCGGCCATTTTCAATCCGGTATTCAAGAATGGAGGCACTGAGACTGGTCGTCGAAGATGCCACGCTCTATGCGATTGAATTGCATTAGTTCAAGGACCAAAACCCTTTGCGCTTTTGTCTCGATCAAACTGGCTGGAGGCTTGGTTCTTGTGGGCACTACGATCCAACATACCTCAAGTTCAGATCCACTGTGATCGGATTCCTATAAGAATGTAAGTTTCTCTGCCACATGAGTTGGACACTTAATGCAAGAAGTACCTCAGCGGCGATTACTACTTCATGGTCAACTTCAGCCATTGTAGTGTTGTGATCGGTGGTAAAGTATGTCCCGTAACAGGGTTTATTGGTTCCGGTGGGAGTAAGGGCCTACGTCCTATCTCTTCAATTGCTTGTATCTGGGCCCAACAATGAGGCAAGAGACTTGAATAACGCTTGAATCTGGCGCCGGCTATAAAGAAGCAACCCTGGAAAGCAGGATAAAAACCTGACGGAGAAGTCTCTGCTTTTTGTGACGAGAGACCTGACCGGTCAACTCTGCATCTGCGACCCCTCTTTCCTTGGCCTGAAGACATGCAACCAACAGCGACTGGCAAGATGTCTCTTTCCCCTGCTTTCGCGTCACAATGTGGAGCTCAAAAGTCCTCAAGCGAATGAAAAATCACGGTTTCTGTACCCGCCGCAGCTTTGGCGATTGCCCGAGGAGCAATTTGTGGAAGGAGGACGAACACATCCCGCGCTCCCCGGAACCCTTGCCAACCAGATCAGATGCCCCGTCTGTAGCCCCCGGCCCGGACAGCCACCTATCCACCAGCCTGCACTTGAGATAAACATGGGGGCCCAAACGAAGCACTCTGCCTACTGAGGGAAGCCCCTCCGATAATGAATAAGGCATGTTCAGGTCGATTGCCAAAGTCCCTTGCACGTGTGGGTTACATAAGATAAAGATTATTCCTGGAAAGAACTCAAGAGATGTTCTCAACACCACTAGCAAGCCAAGGGAGTAAAGTCTCTTTGAGTATAAATGAATCTATTTGAACCAGTTGCCCGGCTGCCAGCTTTTCTGGCAGAGTCACGCGTAAAAACATCGGTACTCTGTCAGGCAAGAGTCAAAATTTCCACTATTTTGTGGCGTGGGCTTGCGCTTGTTTGATCGCACGCCTCTGATCTTGAGTCAACGAACCATGAGTGCACAAATCTTTGAAAAAGTCTTGGTGTTGAGACTGACATCTCTCAATAATTCCGTGGTTAAGAGTAGCCTGTCTTTTCAAATCTTTGTAGCTGTAGCTACGAAGATTAGGAAAGCAGGATGGCTATCTTGATTACGGGAAAGAGACGATAAGTCTTGCCTCGCGACTGTGTAAGTGTAATACCTCCTATATACACAGTCTTTTTCTCCCAGTCAAATCCACGAAAGTAGATTTACACGACTTCAACCTCCTATGGCCTCCGCCCTATAATACAGTATCTTGCAAACGATCGTTAGTCAACGGACGTGCAACAAATACCGTTAGGGCTGACTCGTAACTCACATTCGAAAGTAAGCGTGGAAATTCCTATTCCTCACATCATGGCGCACATTAATAAGGAAGCCCTCGACCCTCGCTCGAGACCATCCAAGGACGCGCGTAAAGAGAGCCATACACAAGCCTTGGAGAGCACTACCAAAGTTCTCCTGCGTCCAGAGGCCTAATTTCTTGTACCTGGTTCCCTTAGTATTCAAATCCCAAGAAAGGTCTCTTCGCTAGTCACAGATGGATGCTTAGGGGGTGAAATATGTGTATAATACCTATCCTCTTTTGGCCATCCGTTTATGGGCCACTTATACATCTGAATTGAGACGTCCACGAAACCAACTTCAGTCATGAGATTTGCTAGCGCTGGTATATCGACGTACGAGCAGCCGGCGGCTTCCGCGCCGGATTGGAGGAGCTGTACGTATTCTGCTAATGCGCAGTCCTTGGGGAAGGTGTCATCGTCGGACTGTGGGTTGATGTCGGCGTCTTGGACTTCGAACCACCCGCCGGGGTTGAGATTGCTATTCAGCAACACAAAGACTGTTATTACTCATCGATGTCTTCGAGAGAGTGAAGCAGAGGTAAACGAAAGTGAGAGCTTACTCGTAAGCGGATCCGAAAAACTTTCTCCAGTTGTTGATGGCACCTGTCATGAACCGACTGTGGATATAATCGAATGGTTTTGAGTATGTCCAGTCTTCGTCCACGTCGTCGATCTCAAACCTCACGTTTTCCGGCACACTGTGTTCAGAGGACATGTCAGTATCACATAGACGTTCTTGCACAGGTGCTGATTCTCTTACTACTCTGGCTGATTGGGTGAAAGATCAACACCGTAGACCTGATTGCGGCATCGAGTAAGGAACTAGCCACGAGAGATGGATGATTGGTCAGAATACCTCAGCTTCGGGATGCAATTCGCCAAAGTCGATGGCCCATATGCCGGTACCAGTCCCCACGTCTAGGACACGCCCGACCTTGGCATCTTCGTCGCATGGCGGGGCCTGTCCCAGTCTATCGCCGATAGTATATGTGAATATCTCGTGCTGCATATCTAGTCTAGATGTTAAGCGAGTATCGGAAAGGAGCGAGTCGTCACGCGAACCTAGTCTATCGCTTTCTATCTCGTCGTTCGGGAGCACATATTCTGATCATACCATAGTCGTCAGCCGGAGAGATGATACCCTATTGCGTCATGTAAAGCCACGAAAGTTAACTCACTGCCATCCTTATATCGGTGGTAAGTCCTGCCATTCTCGATTCGGTATCCTAGGATCGATTGGCTGATGCTCATACTAGACGAGGCTATGCTCTGCAATACCATTAAAATCATGCCTTTGAGGGGTGGCGATGAGCCAAGGCTTACCTCAATCTCAGAGCGTTCGTCTATTTGCTGTCCTTATGCATCAGTCTTATATCTTTTATGAGACCAATGGAGTGTAGTCCATACCCCATTATCGGCAGCAATGACCTGATAGGTCTCCCACATCGCGAGTGCCCGGGAGACTGAGCAAGAAGAATAATGTGAGATGCGGAGTTGCTTGTATACTGCAGCATTGGCGATGCAAAATATCGCAAGGTCAATCAGGCCGGGTCTGAAGATTTCGTAACAAACATTCGTAAAAAAGAATATTACAGGTACAAATAGATGAAACGTTGAGAATGGAATTCCTTGGGGGTTTTGTGACGAAGGATAGGCGCCTGGAAGGTCAATCATTTCCAATCTTCCTCTTTGGCTTTGGAACTCCCCAAACCAACAGAGCAAACCAACCTGCATCATGCACGTCGACGGCGATGCTGCCTTCACTGCTCACTTACAGGGATTCTCATGTGGATGTGAACCAAGGCACAGGCGAATCAGAACACAGGCTCTCCGCGCAACCCCAGAAGCGAAGGCGCCAAGGGGACCGGACTCTTCACCTGATTTCGTCGTGATGCATGGAGATAGCGACAGGTCTGGGCCCCCGATCTGCCCCTCCCATTCACTTGTGCTGTTAAGTTTGCTAGATTCTAGATCCAAGCCATCGATCCGGCGGGTTTGATTGTGAGAGTTGATAATGGGAAGAACGTCCCAACATAGTTCTGTTCCATCGTAAGAAGGTTCTTGCGTGCTGTGCACTTGGATAGAACATGCTCTTCTCTCCACGAGCCACCTGATATACTGCTCACTCCTGGCTCTGAGAACAAGCCTGCTTCATTGGACCCCTCAGATTAAGTATATTCTCCAGTCAAAATCTCACTCGAATGGGTATATCAGGACGTTGTCAATTGACCGAGGCGGACCTTGTCAGTGCTTACCACGCCATTCACACGTCTTCAGCACATTGGACGACAGACCGCTCGAGTGTAGCATCCTGGATTGTAGCAGTAAAACATAGAGGCGGAGCCGGTGGAAGCCGCAAGTGCTGCTCATCGACATCATGAAAAGATTTACCTTCTCACTCATCCACCTATCAAGAAAACAAGGCAAACCTGCCTTTCCAAATAGGGACTACACCCAAGAACTGACAAACATGAGTTCCAATGACAAAATAGCACGCTTTGGGCCTGATTGAACGAGGCAAAAGCAAAAGTCTGCGTCGAGGGGGAATCGAACCCCCGGCTCCCCGACGCTGCTGGGTGGCAACGGAGAATTTTACCACTAAACCATCGACGCGGTTGAAGTGTTCGGTGCCCGGCAAATACATCAAGGGCTGTATGGGTGCTCTCGCACAGAAAGCCTCACAAAGCGACGATACACAAAGTGAAGAGACGATCTAGATCTGCGAGTCCGCTCTATGAATCTCAAAGTCTCGAGAATCCCCGTGTCTTGAGAAGCCTGCATTGGAAAAGTAACCGCACAGACAAGCATCAATTTCACTTCGACTTACAAGGTGCTGAAGCACGCAGCGTATCCACTGAGGCCATTTACTCTGCGACGAAACATGTTCTTCACTCAGTGTCAAGACAGCGGTGCATATCCCAAAGCGGTCTAAAGCTGCACAAAACATGACTGCAGTCTGCAAAATACAATCAATCGTTGAGTCAAACTTCGATTTGTCTTAGTTGGCGGCAGAGCTGAGCCGCGGGACCGATGGATGGTGACTCATAGTGACTGGCCCGGGCTTTGCCTACCTTACGGGCGGTGACCTCCTGCTTGTTTTGTCAGCCTTACAGCGGGCGAACAGTGGCAGTCTCGCCACACCTGTCGGGTCCAAGCCCGGAAGGGACCTTTTCCCAAAATTTTAGCGGGTCCACTCATCCGAACGCTTAAGTCCGCCCCAGCGACTTCACTTGAAAGTAGGTAGTTTTGCCCTTTCTCTGTTGCGGAATCTCTTTTAAAGTCGCCTCCCCAGGTCCGGGTACCGAGTGGAAGTGGAATTCTAGGTGTCAATTCACTTTCGTTCCTTTCACATTCTCCTTTTGCGAGGTTGCGAGAACTCTTGATTCATTTCCGCCGCCTAATCTGGCAACAACTGTACGAAGACGCTGTATTTCAAAAAGCGCAATCACGATATCATCAACTCATCATCACATCATCACGCCAGTTAGAGTATCAGACATGTCGGACGGTGGTGCAACACAGACCCAAACCCAGACGCAGACTCAAGCGGGCTCGTCAGCTGGAGGAGGTTCTCAGCCAAGCCGTCGAGGCAGATCAGGAAGAGGGAGAGGAGACGGAGGCAACGGCCGTGGTGGCCGGCGAGGTGGCGGCAGGAATGCCAATCCTCAACCTCGGGCCCAAGCTCAGCCAGCACCGGCTCCTGAAGCCTCAACAGAAAATGCACCCGAATCAGAGCCATCTAGCTCTGGGAGGAGAGGCCGTGGCCGCGGCGGCAATCGGGGCGGCCGGCGAGGTGGAGCGGTCCGAGGTGGTACGGTATCGGGAACTCAGCGAACGTTTGGAGGTAGCCTGACGACTGCCGCGGATCCAAATGCGTCGGATGCACAGGGACTGAGTGCAGATGCCCCGGATTTCGTTCCTGGGCAGCCTGTTGTCCACAGAGGGTATGTTCATACTCACCACATCAGAGAACTGGGGTTGACTGATATTTTCAGAAAACAACCTGCGCCGAAGCAAAAGAAGCCTCAGTATCCTTTAGCACCAAAATCTGTAGCCGCAGATTTACCTACGCGCATCCATGAGGACATCAGCAACGGCCAGTACGAGTGTGTCATTTGCTCCAGTGAAGTGTTGCGGCCATCTCGCGTATGGTCCTGCGGGCTATGCTGGACGGTACTACATTTATCTTGCGTCAAGAAGTGGTTCACGAGCCAGCTCAAGAAGGACGACGACACTCGCTCTTGGCGCTGCCCCGGCTGCAATTCTAGTTTGACTGAGGAGCCGAGTGCCTACCACTGCTGGTGTGGAAAGGATATCAACCCACGGAATGTCCCTGGTCTTCCTCCTCACTCTTGCGGACAGACCTGCTCAAAGCCCAGAGCAACATGCCCGCATCCATGCCCTCTCGAATGCCACGCCGGTCCATGCCCGCCATGCACCCTCATGGGACCGACACAGTCCTGCTTCTGTGGCAAACACGAAGTAACGAAGCGGTGCACTGAGACGGACTATGGAAACGGATGGAGTTGCAAAGAGATTTGCGGAGACTTGCTACCTTGCGGCGAGCACTTCTGCGCCACTCCTTGTCACTCTGGCTTGTGTGGTAGCTGCGAGATTCCTGTGCAGGCAAGATGCTACTGCGGGAAAGAGCACAAGGAGATCCCCTGCGATCGCCGCGATGACCTTCAGATGTCATTCAACTACGGCCAGGTTTCTAGCTCGGATTCCGAGGACATTTCTGAGGATAGCTGGTTTGACGGCTCATTCGACTGCGGAGCGACTTGTGGGCGGAAATACGATTGTGGTTTGCACGATTGTGAGAAGACTTGCCATTCGCAGGACGAAATGCCGGCACACTGCCCATCGGCTCCAGATGTTGTCCTTCACTGTCCGTGTGGCAAAACACCGTTGGAAGAGCTCCTCGACCAGCCAAGACAGTCTTGTCAGGACAAGATTCCTCACTGCAAGAAGATCTGCGACAAGATTCTTTCTTGCGGTCACCGGTGCATGGATACGTGTCATACCGGTCCTTGTAACACATGCTTCCAGAAGCAGGATATTTCCTGTCGATGCACCCGTACTGTGAGCAAGACCCTCTGCCATCAGGGAGAGATCGCGACTCCGATGTGTTTCAAGGTCTGCCAGGCCCAGCTCAACTGCAGTCGCCACAAGTGTGGAGAGCGCTGCTGTACAGGGGAGAAGAAGGCAATGGAGAGACAGGCTGCTAGGAGGAAGCATAGACAGCAGCAAGCTCCGGATGAGGTTGAGGCGGAACACATCTGCCTCCGCGTATGCGGCAGGACACTGAAGTGTGGAACTCACCAGTGTTCGCAAATTTGCCATGCTGGGCCCTGCCCAAGCTGCCTCGAAGCCGTCTTCGAGGAGATCAGCTGTGCCTGCGGCAGGACTGTCCTGCAACCCCCGCAGCCGTGCGGAACCAGGCCCCCTGAGTGCCGCTTCGACTGCAGAAGAGCACCTCCCTGCGGACACCCCACGGTGAAGCACAACTGCCATCCTGACGATGTCGACTGTCCCAAGTGTCCTTTCTTGGTAGAGAAGGCGTGCATCTGCGGCAAGCAGAGGATGAAGAACCGGCCTTGCTGGCTCGAGGGGGCTCGCTGCGGTCTGCCGTGTGGTAAGAAGCTCAAGTGCGGGTAAGTATCACCAATTCCAACACAACAGTCATCGCATGTGCTAACTAGAATGCAGCACTCACGCATGTAGAAAGGAGTGTCACCGTCCTGGCGAATGTGAAGACGCTGATATTCCCGGCTCTCATTGCGCCCAATCCTGCGGCAAGACTCGCAAATCCTGTGACCACTCGTGCCAGGACTCATGCCACGCCCCCTATCCATGCAAGGAAGACCGGCCATGCCAGAGCAAGACCTTCATCACTTGCGACTGTCAGCACCGCAAGAAGGAGGTGAAGTGCATGGCTACCAAGACCAACCCAACTCCGGATCGCGACATCCTGAAGTGCGATGACGAGTGCCTCCGCCTTCAGCGCAACCAGCGCCTCGCTGTCGCCCTCAATGTCGACCCGGATCACAACGACGACCACATCCCCTATTCGGACACGACTCTCAAGCTCTTCCGTGAGCTCTCTCATACCTGGGCCCAGAACCAGGAGCGCGAGTTCCGCGTCTTCGCATCGGAAGCCTCCGAGAAGCGTCTGCGCTTCAAGCCTATGCCCTCGTTCCAGCGCGCCTTCTTGCACGCTCTTGCCGAGGATTTCGGCTTCGACTCGGAGAGCCAGGACCCAGAGCCGCACCGCCACGTTTCCATCTTCAAGACACCGCGCTTCGTCGCCGCACCGAAGAAGACGCTGGCGCAGTGCGTCAAGATCCGCACCGACGCAGCCAAGACAGCAGCAGCCGCAGCCGCAGCGTCTTCTTCGGCGGCTGCCGCAGCGTCGGCACCGGAGCCCTTCAACGCCCTGCTCCTCTCGGCCCCGCGCTTCGGCCTGACCATTGACGAGGTCGAGTCCGCCCTCACCAACCACCTCAAGGCTTACAACACCCTTTCCTTCACCACCGCCTTCCTCCCATCGGAGGAGATCCTCATCCGCGCGGTTCCCGTCACCTCCTGGGGCACTACCCCCTCGGCCATCGAGTCTTCTCTCGCTTCCCTGAAGCCCCTCGTCGCGCGCACCGTAACCAAGGACGGCATCGCCGCGGCCGCGACAATGGTCCACGCCGACGCGAGCCTCAACGTCCTCCGCCGCGAGGGAACGTCGGCCAACGGCAGTAGCGGCGGGTGGAACGCCGTCGTCGGCCGCGCTGCGGCACAGCGTAGGACCGTTGCGTCCAAGCCCGCCGCCGACGCGCGTCCCGCCAGCGGTTTCGTCAGCTTCTCCAAGCTGGCGCGCAAGAAGGTCGTCGAGGACTCTGTCGCGGATGACTGGGAGGCTGCCGCCGAGAGCGATGAGTGAGGCGCGCCGCGGCGCCTCCCAAGTTTTCTTGCTTCGGCCAAGGAAGTTGTTGGATTCTTGACTCTCTCGATCTTGGATGCAAGCAAGGAGGTGCCCTGGCGTGGCGGAGCTTGTAGCGTTGTTCGCCCTCCTTCTCCACACCTCCTTTGTGGTGTTGGCGATGAGTCTACACTACGGGAAAGTCGCTGACGGAAAGGCAAAGATTTGTTACGAAGTATAGACGGATGGGATGGGAGGTCCCACCAACAGGATAAAATAGTCTTAAACGAAAGAAAACATGAAATTAAGAGAACCTACAATGAGCAAGCAAGCGGAAAGACCTGTTATCGACAAGACGAGTATCGTGATATCAAAGCAGGACGTGATGTGATTCTCCCCATTCACAATAACTGAGCACCCCCTCCTCCTCTTCTCTGTACTCGTCCATCTTGATAAGCCCATCCCTTCCCCCACGAACCCCGCGAGATCTCCCATACCACACCACAGTAGAAAGCAAGCGCCAGCCATCCAGCTCCTCTGCCACGTCACAGAAACACATGCATACATCCACAAGCTGTATTACGCGAGCGATGGGAGAAACAGGATAGACGAACAAGCCCAGCCCCTGGAACCCCAAGCCAACCCTGACCCGGGTCCGTCCTATCCTGTCCCCGTGTGTCCCCCCCCCCCCCCAAATTCCGACGAAGTTGGGCTCGTTGCTGGCAAGAAAAGGTGTCATGAATTTATCCCCGCTTACAGCTGGCTGTCTGCTTGTCCAGGGCGGATGGAGGTGGCAAGGTTGACCCCGGCTCCGGACGATCGTGATAACCTCTCGCCGTCGAGCATCATTCCGCAGATCGTCCTTTGCCCCCGGCGACCCGGACGTGATCTGACAGTAACCTGAAAAGGAGAAGACGGGATGGAATGAAGTCCAAGGCCGATGATTATACTGTGTAAATAGACCTCAGCGCTGCTCGTGGGGACCAAAGTTACCTGCTGAATATTAAATACACCGCCTGGCATCCCTGGTCCTCAAGCCCCCGTTAACGGTGAGAGACAGGGCCATACCCCGTTCAGATCAACATGTCACCGTCGCCTCACTCCCCATCTCATATTTTGACTTGTGTGCATGGCTGCTCGTACTCATTGCTTCATTATATTTATGTTGCGTCTAAGATATGCTGTCGCATCCCGGTCCGTCATGGGGAGCGGGGGGTATCATTCTTTGAAGGACCAAAAAAGGTGGTTTTAGAGAGGAAGATCACCCGCCGCCACGTACTGTTTTCTCCGTTCTATGCCTTCTTTTGCTGCCGCAGTGTATCCAGGTGATCGGCGCCTTCACAGGTCGCGATAAAAGGGGGGGCATTACATCTACTCGTTGTCCTTCATGGATGGACTCCTGCAGTGGAGCCGGCGAGACACGCCCGTGAAGACGGACTGCCGGCCCGTCTCTGCCTCCAGTATATGAGCCACGTGCTGTTGGAACCGTTTCTCGGTTAGCAAGTGGTCCTCCTAGAGGCGCTGCTTCTCCTCCTTGCTTGTCACGCCGGTGACATTGCCAAGAAAGTCCGAGATGGCTTCGAAGTAACCCTCCTCCAAAACACTCGAGTTGTGGTCGCCTGCGGGCAAGGGCTTCCAAATTTTGGAGGGCGCAGCAGAGAGTTCGTAAAGTTGGCGCATGTGACGGGGTCTAAGACATGTGTTAGTCTACAAGAGGCAACATGTGAGACACGCGAAAAAAGCCGGCGTAGAGAAAACCAATATCAGACTCTATGTCGTAAAATTCAAATCAAGCGTCCCGAAGGACTCATATTTTGTGGGTGGTGACTTGCGATCATCATATGGTGTAGGAGAAGAAGCAGGAAGAAAGGGTTGCGTAGCACTTACGGTACGATTTCGTCCTGGAGACCAGAGAGAAAGAGGATCGGCACGGATGTGATGCTAGAGATGATTGATTCGCTTGGCCAGACTTGGTGGCAGAGAAGTGTCAAGTACTTTGCCGGTGGCAACACGGAAGGGATAAGCTTGCGCATGGAGAGGAAGGTGTTCTCCAAGATCAGGCCAGCAATGTCTCCATCCTTTTGGTTCTTGGAAACCAGTTTGATACTGACAGCGCCGCCCAAGCTTTGTCCGTAAACAATCAGCTTATGGTTGCTCGTCTCTGCGCGAGATCGGAGGTAGTCGAGGGCGGTTTGCGCGTCTATGAAGAGGCCGGATTCGTCGGGCTCTCCTGTTGATAGGCCGTAGCCGCGGTACTCGAGCATGAATACGTTGCAACCGATAAAGTTGATAAGCATGCGGGCGATTGGCAAGCGGTGGCCAATGTTACCCGCGTTACCATGGAACATCAGGATGGTGACATTGGAGTTCTTTCCACCGCGCGGGCCGCGGATGTAGAAAGCCGACAGCTTCTCGCCATCGTTTGTGGGGATGACGAGTTCTTCAAAATCCTTGATGCCGTACTGTGAGGGTCTTGGGACATCGGTTCGAGAGTTTGCGGGCATATGCGAGGGGTAGATGAGAGCTCTGGAGCGGCACAGCACAATCAGTCAGTCGGTTGGTCCGCTGAGGGTGGGATAAGGAAGCGTCACATGGACATTGGGGGTGGAGGGACCTACTTTTGCTTGAAGTAGAGGAGGCTAGTCAAGACAGCTGCGATACCCTAGGTAAGAGAAGACAAGTTAGCCTGCAGCACTAGCGAGGCGAGGCAGTCGAGGCACGACCTCGGGCTCAGGCCCAAGAGGAGGGGTTGCAGACAGGAAGGTTAAAATATCGGTGTGAGAAGATGGGTAGCCCGTAGGACGAGGAGGCGGGAATGGCCATACCGTCGAGGCTATGGCTGGTAGCCGCATGTACGCGCCAACAGTACTGAGCATAGACGCCGTCTGCTCGAGGTAACTGTTGGAGGACGGCGATGCTGAGTTGGAAGAGGACATTGTTCGAAAGAGCCGTGGGCAGGGCGAGAGGGAAAAGGCGGAGGAAAGATTATATTCGTATTGCTGCTGGACCGTTCGGCGAGTCCTCAGAAAGGAATGGGCCTGTTTGATGGGGAAGGTAAGGCCCGAAGCGAAGAGAGAGAAGCGGTGCAGAGTCCAGGAGAGAGCGGAGTAGCCTTGCCTTGGCCCTTGGTCGCGAAGGCGGTGGAGGCCGATGCTAGCGGAATGTAGGTACCTCGGTAGGCAGCTTGGAGTGTAGCGGATACCGAATTCGTGTTAGGCGCAGTGGATTGTCGGCATGAGGCGACTACGGACCTGGACCTGGCACTGGGACCGTCTGGGGCTCTCTTTCTGCACAACTGAGGTGGGCAGGATGGATGGACGGACGAACGAACAAGGGGTCGTGCACCAAGCGGAGGTGGTGGGTGTGTGGTGGTGAACCCTGGCTGCGGGAAAGAGAAAAAGAGGTTGCTAGCCGGAACGAAAGCGAGGATCGGAAAGCTGATTTGTGTATTCGTCGGATAGTTAAAGGTATCAGTATCCACAAAGGTGCCGTTTGTGAGGTATCGCTAGCCTCTAGGTGTATATCTGGATGCGATTAAGGTATTTGCGCAGGAAGGTCGATATCCAGCTGTGCTATGGAGATGGCATTGACGGCGCGAGAGGTAGGATTGGAGGTGGTGTTATCCGTAGTGGTTGATGGTGGTGCGGTTTGTCTTTAGCGAGGCCGCACGATGCAGGTCAGGAGGGAGCAATACTGGGGCGGGATCTGGCAGCCGTGCGGCCGGGATGGATGACCGATGGATGTCTACAGTACTGAAGAGATGTGGCTGCGGACGGTTCAATGCCACTGTTGTGTGAAATCCCCGTCGTGTCCAGTCTTTGGTGGTGAATCGTGGGATGATGTTGGGGGGAAGAGGGGGCTAAGAAGTTGTGGCGGGTCTCCTGAGGCTTGTTGATGCGGCAGGTGACCTGATTTGGTGGTAGGCCGCAGGGCTGCTTTCGGAGGTGCTCGGCAAACAAGGGTTACAAGTTGCAGCTTGCCAAAGGCTTGCCGGATGGAGCTCAGTGGCGGAAGTAATAAATGTGAGAATGGGGAGAGAGTCAAGAGATACGATGTGCGATGCGATGCGATGCGATCGGTAATGATGGTGGGTAGCTCAGACTTGATAGGTGCTAGCAAACGAAACGAAGCGACGAGTCCGATGTCACTTCCACTTTCGCCATCTGTTTCTACTTTGAGTTACGTCCGAAAAGATAATGGCTTCAATATCCGTCCGTAGGTCAGACTGGTCAGCGAGGCCATGGCGGAAGCATAAAAAGGATGGTTGAGCCTTATGAAAGGTTGGGAGATGGAAACGCGTTCGTGGTTGTGTGTGGTTTCATTATGTTTATTTGTAAAACGCGACTAGCATGAAGCAATAGACACCACTCGATCTCCCTGCATGAAGCTTCATCAACAGCCGTCTACACCTCTTCAAGCTTTGGGAGGTGTAGCTGTAAGGTAGCTTGGAACTTACACAGTAGGATAAAGTAGCTCAGGGGGGCGATCAATGCGAATGTCACCGCTCTCTGGCGTTGAACTACTTCCGTACACTACTAGCTGCCTTAGTGACGGGAAGCAATCCTACATTACATAAGTAGCTTGCACGCGTGACCTATCGGACTGAACCTGCTGCTATGAAAGATTAAAGTATCAATGGATTACGGAAGTGAAGATGCAGTTGCCCTGCTAACCTCGGACCTCCAAGTGCGCCGTGGGATGACCTAGCGGGAACCGGTGATTGGGTAAAGCCCGGCAAGAAAGGGGGAAGCAGCGACGGTGATGGGAGCTTCCCGGTGAAAGACAACCGGCGGCATTCGTGGCTTGAAGTGGAGATGGAGATGAACTCCAGCTCTGTCAAGTTGTCAACATCCACCCTTCACCGTCCTAACGTCTGTCTATCTTGCGTATACCAAAATCCTGTACGTCCACAGCCCGCAGCTCATTGCACATCGTCATTCATAACAGCGGGGGACCACGTCTTCCATTCCAGAGCAGTTGGGGACCCCGAGCCGTCCGGATGTGCCAGTTGTCAGACACCC